AGGAGTCTCCGTTTTTACCTTATAGGGCAGTTTTCATGCCCAGGCTTGCTTGATCTACAGTTTCCTGGAAGGGGGGGAATAGCAGGCGGGGGTCAGGGCGTGCCAGGGCGTGTCTAGGCATGTCTAAAGCAGCAGCCAAGCATTTTACAGAAGGTAAAAGAGCAATTAGAGGGGGTCTGGAGGGATTTGGGGGTAGCGGGTGAATGAAGAGGGTCTCGGTCCTACAGTGTGTGTATATATACATACATACCAGTATGTATGTGTGTGTATGTATGTCTGTATGTGTGTCAGAGGACATCTTTTGGGAGTCAGTTCTAGCCTTTTGTATTGTTGAGGCAGCATCCCTTACTATTTCTGCTATTACACTGTGTACTCCAAGCTAGCTGGCCCATGAACTTTGGGGGCATTTTTTTTGTTTTTGCCTCCCATCTCTCCACAGAAGTTCTCAGATTACAGATGGGTATCACCACATCCAGTTTTTTATGTGGGTTCTGGGGATGGCACTTGGGTCATCAGGCTTCTGCAGCTACTAATTCAAACCACAAGATTAAAGACCATCTCTTGAAAAAAATTCATTGACGGGGCTAGAGAGATGGCTCAATGGTTGAGTGTTCTTTCAGAGGACCTGAGTTTGGTTTCTGGCACCCCAGCTCCAGGATATCCAATGCCCTCTTCTGGCCTCTGTGGGTACCTGCATGCACACCACATTCACACACAGGCACACATATACACATAAATAAAAATAAATCTTTATAACAAGTTCATTCAACATTGACATCTCTTAGATAAAGAAGTATTTTTAGTGCCTAGGGGAAGAAGGATGAAAAGACGAATCCTTCTTAAGCTAAAGCTCAGTTTGGTGAGGAAGCTATATGTATTAATGGAGGAGAGTAAGACTCATTACTCGTAATAATGAAAGACATCCATGATAGTGCAGGGGAGGAGTGAACCACTGCACCACTGTGGCAGGTTCAACCAGGAAGACCATATGTGAGCCAGCTCTTGATGAACAGCTAATAAAATGTGAAGAAGTTGGGGTCAAGAGGATATTTCAGGCAATGGGAATCTGGAACAAAGTCATGGGGTTTGAAGCGCACTTCTACAGCATGTTCAGGAAGCAGCAGTGTTAGGCATGGGAGAAGGGGACAGCTTGGTGAAAGGTGACAGGAAATGAGCCTAGGAGGCCAAAGGCAGGCAGCACAAAGCCTAAGATACTTTATAATAAGGAGCTTGAATTTTACCTTCTAGGACAACAAGACATCTTTGAAGGGCTTTAGCGGTAATAACACTAGCATACTCTGATGACAGTGTGTGGAGAATACTTCGGGGGGAATATTTTGGAACCAGAGATACCATTTAAGGAACTGCTTCAGTAATCTAGGAGAGAGACAACAGGGTCCTGAAATAAGAGAAGGACCGTGTATGGCGGAAGATGAGAGGGCAGACTCCATAAACATGCACAAGGGGAGAAATCACACAACATGGACCACTACTGCATGTGGGAAACAGTGGAGTGGGACACAAAAAAAAGGACCAAGGAGCTGGGGGGGAAGAGAGAGAGAGAGAGAGAGAGAGAGAGAGAGAGAGAGAGAATAAAATGAGTCTTCTGTGGATTATATAATTTAAATGCTCATTGGATATTTAAAACTAAAGCCAGTGCTGGGAATGTAGCCCAATCAGTACAGGGCTTGTTTAGCATGCACAAAGCCTGGATTCAATCCCAGGTAACATATAAAGGGAGCATGGACACCCATTAGTGCATATGGGTAGCACTAACTAGACTCAAAGGGATATTAATAACAACAACAAAAACAAGAGAAAACATAAAGTGGGAGGAAGATGGGGGATGGGGCACCAGGGGGATTTGAAGGGAGGTAGTGGTGAATGGATATGACCAAAATACATTGTATATATGCATGGAATTTTAAAAAAATAAAGAAAATTATTATTAGGATTCCTGAGTGCTGGGGTTCCAGGTGTGTGCCACCACACCTGGCTTATGCATGCTGGGGACTAAATGGAGGGCTTCCTGCAGACAGCACAAGCACTCTACCAGCCGAGCTACATCTTCCACCCTTAGTAAAACTGCACGTCAGTGACTGTGGGTGACATTAATTATTCTCATCAAATGCTTAAATATGCTAAAACATGGGCCTAGTATAGGATATTTAGATTGCTCATTGATGCTCTTTCACTAGGTAGGTAGAAAAATGTGCCATTGATGCAATAATTATCTCATTCTTATGCACTAAACATTGTGCTCTGAAGGTCACAGACAAAGTCTGGCATGGTGGCTCACACCTGTGATCCCAGAACTTGGGACGCTGAGGCTGGAGAATTACTGTGAGTTTGAGGCCAGCCTGAGCTAGATAACGAGACCTTGCCTTAAAAAAAAAATCAGGACTGGAGAGATGACTCAACAGTTAAGAGCATTGGCTGCTCTTGCATAAGACTCAAGTTCAAATTCCAGCACCCACATGGTAGCTAATAACTGTCCTTAACTCAAGTCCCAGAGAATCCAACTCCCTCTTCTGGCCTCTTTGGGCATTTCACAACATGAGTGCACTTACATACACACAGGCAATTCACTTACACATAAAATAAATTAAAAAAAATTTTTTAAAATCAATCATCCATCAATAGCCTAGGTAGTGAGTTGGAATAACCTTCTGGGGGTTATCTAGCCCCATACTTGGCTTTAGGACATTAGCATTTTTCTAAAAACATATTTTATTTATTATTTTTCTTTTATGCATGAGAATGTGTTGCCTGTATGAGGGTAAGTGCATCCTTGTGGTACAGTGCCCTTGGAAGTCAGAAGAAGGCATCAAATCCCCTGGAACTGGAGTTGTAGATGGTTGTTAGACACCGTGTGGGTGCTAGGAATTGAGCCCAGGTCCTCTGCAAGAGCAGTCAGTGCTCTTAACCGCTGAGCCATCTCTCCAGCCCCTTAGCATTTATTTTTATATTTTAACATTTTTATTTATTTGTGTCTTATTTTCTGTGCATGTATATGGAGTGGAGGAGAGTGGTGGCACATGCCATGACATGCAAATAGAGGTAAGGCAACAGCTTGTGAGAGTCAGTTCTCTCCTTCTACCACATGGATTTTAGGGATCCAGCTCAGGTCAGCAGGCTTGGAAGCAGGTGCTTTTACACACTGAGCCATCTCCAGCCCACAATTAGCATTTAAACCTTCTGATTCATTTGTGCAAGACAGTGAAGGTCCCCGAGAGGAGCAACAAATGATTTGCACGTCTAAATTAATATCCATGCTGGAATGCTGGGCCCAGACTGTCCAGGTGAAATTTTATTGGATTACATGTAAATTCCTGCCCTTTTTTTCTAAAAGGCAACAGATTAGGTGCGATGGAGGTAACAGTGTTATGTGAGGTCTTAACCAGCCTCATTTTAGATTGTACTACTGTGACAGGTAAGATAGGCAACTGTTCCGTATGCTGCCCTGGCACACATTCGTGGTGCTTAAGTTGTAGCAGTCAGTCCAGCCAATGAGGGAGGCAAAGAGGCCATTGTGAAAGATGGAGGTGAGTGGAAGGCAGGAATGTAGGTGAAACACTGTTCTGTGAAAGAAGATGTGGATGAATCCTGCCACACTACAGAGGGCAGAACCCCCACACATAGAAGGTAAAGGAAGGCACTTCACAATTAAAAAAAAAAAAATCTATCATTTTTTTATCGCCATAAATAGAATGGGCAGCTCCTGCCCAGCAGTGAGCTCCCCTCAGCTGGGAGCATGCAATCCGGAGTGTGCAATCCAGGAGTGTGCAAGCAGAGTGCTAGTGAAAAGAGTCTTGGAGCAGGAAACACCTGGTCAGGGGATCTACAGCCCCTGTGCAAATGGTCTGTTCGGCATCTTCATTTTCTCAGTGAGGATGTAACCTGTTCATGGATTCATTTTGTTTTCTCTACATGCAGAGATCATCGGTTCTACAAATCTTATAATTCTTCTACAGGATGAAATCTTTGCCGATTTTTTCAACACGTTTCTGTCTCTCCCGGTAAGCAAGCTCAGACATGAATCCAAATGTTTCACTAAGGAGCCTAAGTGTCTTTTTACTCTGTTGTTGTTTTGCTAATTTCCTTATCAAATCAAGAGCTTTTCATTTTTAAACATTTTTATCACATTTATCTATTTAGTGTGTGTGTGTGTGTGTAATTGTTGAGTTGCTGGTTGAACAAAACTTACACATTTCCTCAATTTGTGCAACTAAAATAAACCTCAAACATCAAAATGTTTTTAAATACAAACCTAGGCTAGTACAGTATCCTCTTTTCTCTACCCCCCCCTCATTTATTTCTAATTGAGATAGACTCACTAGGTCATCCCAGCTGGCCTTGAGCTTGTGATGCTCCTGCCTCCAGGGTGCTAAGATTACAGGTGTGTGCCACCACACCCAGCAAGCCATCACTTTTTAGTTTAAATCTTCAGTGACTTTTAAAATGTTGGTGCTTTAGAACCTGTAGCTCATATCCATGCATCCTTCCTCACTGGGTGTACCTGCTAAAATGTGAAATTCCAGGTGCCTGGGAAAAACCATCCCATCAACACTGTATTATCTCACAAACAGTTATTGGGTGACTCATGTCAGCCACCAAGTTTAGTTTTGGAGATACACATGTCTTCAACAAATGCCCAGTTGAATGTGAGAGCCTGGTGTAGGTGACAGGATGGAGGTTTCTAGGAGGCCGGGTGGGGTGGGTACAATACACAGGAAAGAGAAGACGCTCCTACCTAGAAGAGACGGGAGAAGTTGACATAGACCAAATCTTTTTAAAATTCTTTAAAATTTTATGTGTACAAGTGTTTTGCCTGCATGTCTATAAGTACACCATGTGTATACAATGTCCATGGAGGCCAAAAGAGGGTATTTGATTCCCTGGAACTGGAGTTATGGACAGGTGTTAGCCACCACGTGGTGCTGGGAACCTAATCTAGGTGCTCTTCACCGCTGAGCCATCTGTCTAGCCCCCACAGACCAAATCTTTAAAAAGTAGGCATCTATCTGAGAACTGAGTAGGCACAGAAAGTGCAAATAGAAGAAGCAGGAGGGAAAGGACACAGAGGTTGAGTACTAGGTAATGCAAAGTCCTTATAGAGAGAACAGAGAACGTACAGTGATGCCAGCCAGCATGATTCACTAAGGAAGAAAGAAGAGAGACGTGGGGTCTTTGGGGTCATCGTCTCTCACTCCTGCCATTGCCTCTGCCAGTTGGGTTTCAGAAATTATTTCAGGGCATGTTGATTATTCAATTCACCAACACAATTTAAGCAGTTCACAGTAACATTCTACATGGGAAGGTGGCATTCCAGCCAAGAATGAAAGTAAGTCCTGGGCGTTTAGGCAGCTTTGGTCTATGGAGAGGCAGTGTTTCCTGTCAGTCATGTCAGCTTACAGATGTTTACCATCCAATTTCCACTAACCCTGCAAAGTAGGCATTACCCCCTTTCAATGGCTGGACCTCATAAGTAAATGATTTATCTAAGATCACACGGTGAATCTGGGCATTTTGGGAGTTGTCCCAGTCTTCTGGCTCTAGGCCTGATGCATTTTCCATGTTGGCTTTGTGCCCTGAGCGGCAAATGTCATTGAGTGAGACTGCATCCACACGTACACCTTCTATATAATCTTACAACTTCCCAGCCCCACTGCACAGCCCTGGAAGGTAACAATATGCCAGGCAGGCGTATTGGTCAAATGCTTAGTACAGAGCAGGGAAAGATCAGGAAGGGCTGTGTCTCTTTATTGACATATAGCTGTGACATGAAGACAGCATCAACAGTCTTCTCACAGCCAGAACAAGAGAACAAGGAGGCTGAAGGGGTGGGGCCCACAGACTGACGAAAGTTTGGACCGTGGTCTTGGGGAGATGGGCAGACTGGTATGAACTGAAGCTTCAGCCATACTTGTTTTTCATGAATATATTTGGGATGCTGTGAGGCAATTTGGTGCCTCTGGTGAACCTGTTTAAGGTTTGATACCTTTTCCGTTCATTTCAGAGCTCATTCTAGGTGATATTTCCTTTTCCTTGACCAAAGCCTACAGTTATGTTTTAATAGGGTCACATATGATTTATGACCCTAGTCCTCTTGTCTTCAGTCCTCTTTACTTTCTCCAATTCAAGAGTTAGGTAAATATAAAGCCATTTCTTATTAGGAAAAGTTTTAGACCTTGGTTTTTGCATAAGTCCATGGAGAAAATGAATACAGCGATATATTAGTAACTCCATTCTAATATCAAGGGCTTTCACCCTTACACACAACTCCCAGGTCTATGAGGGGTATATCTAAGTGATAAGTGAGCCTTGGAATTCAGTCAGTTTAGAGTATTTTTGTGTAGGTCGAACTGATTCAATGGAAAAAATATCCCTTAAGAACGAATGTCCCTTGAAATAGGGAAGTCATGGAGCCTCTTTTCCCCCATGGCTGCAGATGAACGTGCTGTAAACAGAAGACATCTTTGGCCTTAGCCACTTCCTGACTCTCTTTTGCAGGTCTTCGGTCAGACACCGTTTTATAATGTTGAGAATTCACAATGGAGCTTGTGGCCAGAAATACCTTATGACTTGGTGAGTAAGATTCTCTAATGGCAATAGGTTAGAGGTGGAGGAAAAGGGAAGAGGATTTGAAGTATGAATTTGGAGAGGAAGAGGAAGACTTCCAGAGGGTGGCCACAGAAGAATATGTAAAGCAGGTGAGCAGAAGGAAGAGCAGTAAGCCAGGTAGACATTTCACAGTCCCTCAGACAAGCAGTTAGCTTGCTGGTGAATTCTTTCCTTTGTATTCTGGTCCATAGGTAGCAAATGGAATTTATCTCTCATGTCTGCTGTGATGGTTGGGGGGTAGATATTTGGACCACTATGCTTAGAAGAACTTTGAGGCCATGCCTAAGCAAGAAAGAATGTGAGACTTAATTGACAATGTGTGTAAGAGAGGGAACAGCAGCTTTGGGTCACACAGTTGTGATCAGATACGCACTATCAGATACGGAACAAGGCCGGATGACACTCTGAAATCTTTTGATGTCTGCTAGACCGTTCTTGAGCATCTTTCACCTTTTTTTTTCCCCCTCCGTATACGTTTCTTTTTCTTTTCCTTGTAAATTGTCTTTCTCTTCTCCTTTTTCACTACCTGGACCTCAGACCTGACAATGACCTTCTGTGCCATGTTGACAGTGTGTGAGATTAGACAGAGCACTCTAAACCTTGTTCACAACACGTTTTTGATTTCCTTTGAGTTCTAGATATCTAAGAAGAGGTACACTGTTTCAATTCTTTTTAAAAAAATATTTTATTTTGGGGCTGGAGAGATGGCTCAGTGGTTAAGAACACTGGTTGTTCTTGCAGAAGACCCAGATTCAAATCCCAGTACCCATATGGCAGCTAACAACTGTCCGTAACTCCAGGGCATTGCACGACACCGGTGCACTTACCTACATGCAGGCAATATACACATACACATAGAATAAAAATAAAGAGAGAGAGAGAGAGAATGCCGTGGGGGGGGGTGTGCCTGTGGAGGCCAAAAGGGGGTGTTGGATCCCCTGGAGCTGGAATTACTGCTGGTTGTGAGCTGTGAGTGCTGGGAACTGAACTCAGGTCCTCTGGAAGAGCAGTGATGCTCATAATTACTGAGCCGTGTCTCTAGTCCTCCTACTTCAAGTCTTAGATTTGGTTTCTTACACTAATGCTATAACTCACGCTTTATTTTTTTCCTTCTCTTTCTGTGGTTCCATCTCTCAGGATCTTTTCTCCCCTTAAATGGTGGCATGTATATTTCTGTATGTGTATGTGTAGCTGTTGTTGAGAGAGGGGCCTGCTGTGTGCTCAGGGTAGCCTAGAATTCACAATTCTCCTGCCAGGAGCTGGGGTTAGAGGTATGCACCAGTGCACTCAGCTTCTTTGTTTTTGTACGTGTTGCATAGTTGACATGGGTTAGGGTTTGTGAGAAATTATATTTAAAAAGAGGCAAGCTAGTAGAGTTGGACCTGATACCACAGACCAAAATTTTTGTTGTTTCTCTTTTGTTGAACAAGACTTTGCTGTTTTCTTAAACAAATTCACCCAGGAATAAGGAAGACATTTGAGGAAATATCAAGGCTTTTTTTTTTTTTTTCCTAGCAATTTATTTCTTTAGGAACTTTAGCTCAAGTCTCCATTCTCTTTAGACACTATTTTTTAACAAACACTTTTATTATCTTTGAGGAGTTCATACAATGTATTTTGGTCACATTCACCCCAGCTCCTCCCCTTAACTTCTCCTAGATCTATCCTTGGCTACTTACCCCACCCCAACTTCATGTCTGCCTTTTAAAAAGAAATTTTATGACCCATTGACTCCAATTTGTGTTAGCCATGTATTTCTGGGTGTAGGGCCATCCCCTGGAGCATGGTCAACCTAGCCACACTCTTAAAGAAAATGACCCTCCCTCCCTCAGAAGCCATCAACTGTCAATAGCTACTCAGTTAGGGGTGGGAGTTGATGAATCCCTTCCCCTCCATGTTAGAATGTTGGCTGATTTGATCTTGTGCAGATCTTATGCCAGCAACCACAACTGCTGTGAGTTTATGAGTGCTGCCATCCTGTCATGTCCAGAAGCTACAGGTTTGCTCTGGTTCTTCCCAACCTCTGGCACTTATAATCTTTTCACACACACCACCTCCTCCACAATGGTCCCTGAGCCTTGGGGAGGGGTATAGTCAGGGAATACTTTTAATCAGCACACCTTTCCTTCCAGTCAGATATTGCAAGTACAACATTACTTATTTTCCTTTACTAAGTTACATTTAATAACTGTTTCATTTATTTTTCTGTTATTTTATTTGAACTCTAGATTGCCAAGTACAAAGGATTATTGACCTGGTTGGAAAAATACCGGTTACCTTTCTTCTGCAAAACAAACTTGTGTTTCTATTACATTTTCTGTCAGGAACTCATCAGTTTTATTAAGTCCCCAGAAGGAGGTAAGCATGGGTGTGTGAGTGTGGAGAAATATGGGAAGCCATACTACATAATGATCCTATGCTTATCAGTTCTATGGTAAGAGACAAACACCAGCTACATTTGTAGACATATGAGAGTCTGGACACTTGTTGCATCAAAAGGTGAGATCTTAGACTGAGAATTTGGTACCTGGAACAATAAACAGGAGTCACGTGAGCTTAGGTATTTAAATCTCACTAAAGCCAGATATTATGGAGTCAATGGTGGCTATCAAACTGCCAGTGTGGTGGCTCATGCCTATAATCTGACTTCAGGAGGCTGAGACAGGAGGATTTTCATTTGAGGCCAGCCTGGGATACAGAGTGAAATACTGTGTCATATATATATATATGCTAATTAGTAGAGTGATAAACATTACCACTGAAATCTACCCGATGACTTTATATCCATACACAGGTGCCAAGGATCCGCATGCAACCTAGCCATGACTACTAATAATCAGATACATACATATTAGAGATGCATGTGCCAACATCTAAGTGTTATTAGCAAAAACAATGAGTCTTTCTATAAGAAACAATATATTTTAAAATGAAATGGAGATCTTTCTTAAAGGTTAAAAACTCATTCAATTTTATGTCTTATGGGGTTTATACAGAGTTCAATATTGTATAACTGTATTAAATCTACTATGAACCTAAAAATTTTGTAATAACTTTTGAAAGAGATGTATCTTTGCTCTGGAAATTGTTATTGAGTATCTTAAAGCTGTAATGAAATGCTTCTTCCAAAAAATAAAAATAAATAAATAAAATAAAAAACAAATTTTAAAAAAGTAGAGGGGGGATGGAGAGGGGCTCAGTGGTTAAGAGCACTGACTGCCCTTGCAGAGGACCCAGGTTTGGCTCCTAGCACCCCCATATCTGTTATCAACTGTCTGTAATTCCAGTATCAGGGGATCTGATGCCCTCTTCTGACCCCTGGGGGTATTGTACCGCTTGTGGTACACTGACATAAATGTAGGCAAAACACTCATACACATAAAATAAAAATAAATAAATAAATAATAAGTAAATAAGCTACAAACTACCAAAAACCCATGGTAAAACTCTTAATATATACAAAATCATGCAAGTCTTACTACCATCATTATTACCATTTTATTTAAGTACCATCATCATCTATCATCTGGGAACTGAAATCAACTCTTAATTATTCTCATTTCTATTCCTGCTCTCTTGGTGGTAGCAGCCAGAGAGAGTCCTTAAAAACATAGTTTGAGGACAAAGTGAGGACCCTAGGCGCACAGCAGAATAGGAAATGCCAAGTTCCTGTTTCCAAACCTAGAGGAAAAATGCACTAGAGGTATTAGTATGAGCTACATACTGTAACCTTTTGGGGGTTCTGGGGTCTATTCAAGTTTTAAGCCTTCATGGAAAGGCCAAGACTTCTATATCCAGAAAACCTGTCCTTCAAAAGTGAAGTAGTGTTGCTGGATAGCTTTAGTTTTAACTTGACATACCTGGGGGAACTTCCTCCATAGGACTGGCCTATGGCCATGTCTGTGGGGCTTTTCTTGATTGTTGAGTGATATGGGAGGGCCCAGTCCACTGTCGGTGGTGCCATCCCTGGGCAGGTGGGCTTGTGTTGCATAAGAAAGCAGGCTGAGCAGGGGCCAGGGGAGCAAGGCAGTAAGCAGTGTTCCTCCATGGCCTGTGCTTCAGCTCCTGCTTCCAGGTTCCTGTCCTGAGTTCCTACCTTGGGCTCCCTGATGAACTGTGACCTGGGAGATGTGAGATATATAAACCCTTTCCTCCCCAAGTTAGTAGTGGTCAGAGTATTTTGTTACAGCAATGGAGAAACAAACTAGTACAGGTAGATATTAAGAATTCTCCAGCAAAGAAAAGCTAAGGAAAGGATAAAGCAGGGGGATTGCTGTGTGTTCAAGGGCAGCTGGGTACATACTGAACTGTACGCCAGCCTGGACTGCAGAATGAGACCTTGTCTCAAAAAAGAAAGAGAGGAGGAGGAGGAGGAGAGGAGAAGGGAGGGGAAGGGAGGGGGGGAGGAGAAGAGGAGGAGAGGGGAGAGGAAAAAAGAGAACAAGAAAAGAGAAAAGAAGAAGAGAGAAAATGAAAGAAGATGGCCTATAAGAAGTACTCAGTGAAATCCTGCAGGGTGGAACAAGTGGAAACTAAACAGTAAATGAATCCATATGAAAAGCAAATATCTCAATAACGTTAATAAATAGGCAATTATAAAAGGTAATACTGTTGTAAAGATAGTTTGTAACTGTACTTTTGTTTTCTCCATGATTTAAGAGATTAATACTTTGTGGTGTGTGTGTGTGTGTGTGTGTGTGGTGTATGTCTTTTTGAAACAGGGTCTCCCTGTAGCCCCAGCTGGCCTGGAACTCACTTTGTAGACGAGGCTGGCCTCGAACTCAGAGATCCACCTGCCTCTGCTTCCTGAGTGCTGGGATTAAAGGCATGCACCACCATGCTTGGCTGAGATTAATATTTTTTAAAAAGAAAAACTATTAGTCCAAAAGCTAAGATTATTGGAACTTTGGCTCACGACTCGGCATTGCATTTTGTTTTCTACACAGTTTAAGAGACTAGCACATGCCAGTAAATTGCTAGTTGATGTTTTGTGGTACATGATGTATGGAGATATGCTTTTTCCATATCAACAACTAAAAAGGGTAGAGATGGAATTGTTTAAAAAAAATTAAGGGTTTTTGCATGTTATTGAAGTTAAGCTGGTATAAGTTCAAGCTGGAGTGTTATACACATATGTTCAATGTAATTTCCATGGAAATTGCAAGGAAAATGACTACAGAGTATTTAAAATGGAAATTGGAAGGGAAATTTAATGTTTCACCTCAAAATAATTACACAGAAAGGAAGACAGTAATGCATGAAATAAGGACCAAAAAGCTATAAGGCATGTAGAAAACAAATAGCAAGTTACAGAATTAAATGGATTAAATTCTGCACTCTAGGGATAGGTGGCCTAGGCAGCACGGACCCAGCTGCATATGTCTACGAGAGGATTCGTTTAATTTCTTTTTCTTCTTTTTTTTTTTTTGGTTTGGTTTGGTTTGGTTGTTTTTGTTTTTTGGGGTTCTGAGACAAGGTCTCCCTATAGCCTCAGCTGGCCTAGAACTCAGTATGTAGACCAGGCTGGCCTCGATCTCACAAAGATCTGTCTGCCGTGGCCTCCCTTTGCTGGGATTAAAGGCATACACCACCACACCTGGCTATTTCTTTTTTAATTTATTTTAAAATAAGCTTATTTCTTCTAGCTCTTGTAAAGCTGGGAAGCCTAGCTTAGGGATAGATCAAAGGTATTGCAGCCTTGCTTCCAGACCACAGATCATAGCGATAAACAGACTATTGCAAGAAAATAAGTCACAGGAATTTTTTAGTTTCTCAGTACATATAAAAATTTTGTTGGGCCAGGCGTGGTGGTGCACGCATTTAATCCCAGCACTCTGGAGGCAGAGGCAGGCGGATCTCTGTGAGTTCAAGGCCAGCCTGGTCTATATAGTGAGTTCCAGGACAGCTGGGGCTACAGGGAGACCCTGTCTCAAAAAGACCAAAAATAAAAAAAAAATTTTTGTTTATACTTTCTCTGGGTTTGGTGACATGTGATTGTAATCCTCATATTCAGGAGGGTGGGGCAGGAAGATCACAAGTTTCAAGTTAGCTTGGTTTTGTTTACATTGTTAGTAGTCTATATAAAATTTGTAATGACATTATAACTAAAAACAATGTGCATACTTTAATTAGAAAATACTTTGTTAATAAAGATTGCTATAATTTGAGCTGATAGAAAAAATGATGCTGATATAGTTGCTCCACACAAGGTTGCCACACAACTTCAGTTTGTAAATAACACAGTATCTGAGAAGTGTAGTTAAATAAAGTACAATAAAATAAGGAAAACCTGCTTACAGCTGTTCAGCATCTGGCAGGATCTGCTTGCTTTGTCATCTTACATCAGAAGACAGAAGAACTTAAGAGAGCAAGAGGGAGCTGACCTCTTTATCAAGAACCCATTCCCAAAATAATTAATACACTCATGACCTAAACACCTTCAAATATTGTTGCATTGGGGATCATATTGCCAACACATGAACTTCAGGGGTTACATTCCAACCATAGCACCATTTAGCAATAAAGATTTAAAGACAAATCACGGTAAAAGAATTTTTTTCTAAAATGGGATATATTCAAAACAATGTGCTACCAACTCAGAAGGCACTCCTAAGTGAAGTGGCAGGTGTGCAGCACCTAGCAGTCAAGACAGAATAAGCAACAGCCTTACAGATGACTGTTCTGCTGAAGACATAATATCCTTGAATGTGTGTCAACCAATAGATGCATAAACAGTTCATCTTTGCTACTGTTTCAGCATACTGACACAGATAACCAGCAATGGTCATGGAAGCTAATAAACACTTGGCTCCTGGTGAGGAGGAGCTGGGCTGCTGCTGCCACCTGCTGGGGAAGGGGGCTCAAGGAGTGCCATAGTGTCAGAGATAGGCTTATTTTTGGTTTTTGGCCTTTTTGCGACAGGGTCTCCCTGTAGCTCTAGCTGGCCTGGAACTCACTATGTAGACCAGGCTGGCCTGGAACTCACAGAGATCAGCCTGCCTCTGCCTCCCAAGTGCTGGGACTATAGGCATATGCAACCACGCCCGGCTAAAGTACACATATTCTAAACATACAGTTTATTTTCCCCTGATCCATGTTCAGTGCTATCAGCTCTCATGGAGAGGATGTTGAAATCATAAAGACTGTCTCTTACTGAATTAATTTAAAATATCTAACACATATGCTTAATATAAACTCCACTTAGCCAGGAGTGGCGGCACATGCAGAGGCAGGTGGTTCTCTATGAGTTCAAGCCCAGCCCAGTCTACATAACAAGTTCAAGGTCAGCTGGGGCTACAGGAAAACCCTGTCTCAAAAGCCAAAAAAATTAAAATTAAAAAATAAGCTCCACTTATAAGCATCAAAATAATCCTTTTGAGGGCTAGAGGTGGCTCAGTGGTTAAGAGCACTTACTGATCTTTCAGAGGAACCGGGTTCAGTTCTCAGCACGCATGTTAGGTGGCTCACAACTGCCTAGAATTTCAGCTCTAAGGGATCTGACACTTCTGGCCTCTACAGGAACCTGCACTCATATGCACATAGCCCCACACAGGTACATACATATACATAATTAAAGATAATAAAAAATACATTTTAAAAGGATAATTCTTTTAGGGAAGAATGTAAGAGCTAGACAATAGAAAGGCTATAAAATGTCATCCTTAGGTAAGACACAACCATTGCAATCATGAACTCACAACAACTGTAGTTACTTGCACTGGACCTGCACAAAACTGGTGCTGTTAACTATCGATCATGGATAGGAGAAGGTTTAATGGGGCCCTACCCCTTATTGCTAAACTGTTGGTTACTGAAAGGTTATGGGAGAGGGAGAGTTCATGTTTTTGGTTATATACCCCTAAGCCCACCAAGTTTCAATGGGTAGCTCTAAACCTATGGCCAAAGATGGCCCTGGGTAAACTCAGTAGGTCTCAAAATAAAACAAATAGGAATGTGAAAAAGAGATATTTAGGGAAGGGAGGGGTAAGTAGGGGTGTTAGGGAGATAAGAGAGGGTAGAAGGTAGAGGGTAGAGTAATCAGTATGCATTACATTCATGTATGAAGTTATCAAAGAACAAATTTAATAAGAATCCTTTTATATACAAAAATACAAATGGGTTGACAGTGAATGGATGGAGCTTTTCTGGTGCCACCATAGTTAAGGCACAATCCTGGATAGTGAGAGAGGCTCCAGGTGGTTAACCTTCCATTATTTTGATTACTGACCCCAGGAGCAGTTGTGAGGACAACAGGAGACTTGGAAGCAGAAGGGAGTCTGTGACCTTTGAAATGTGCTTATGAACTTCACCCTGGAGGAAAGGGCTTTCCTGGGCCAGTCTCAAAAGTAGTCCCACTGAGATATGATACAGGAAGCCTTCAGGAACCTGAACGTTACTGAAAAAACACAGGAAGACCAGAACATCGAAGACGACTACAGCAATTTCAGGGGAAATTTAAGACATTAAGTGAAAGAGAGATTATGTTAACATCGTGAAGGTAGTCAAAGTAGAGAAAAATTCAGTTGGATTCTAGATCCTCTTGTGAGCATGGAAAAAAAAAAATCCTTGTGGCGTAAAATCACATAAAAGGCAGGTGTGTGGAGATGTCTTCAGTGTTCATTTGTCCCTAAATATTTATGTGGCATTTCAGAATGGACACAAACCAGATGAGTATCAAAAATAGGAGGAACAATTTTATTAATGTAGGGAATGTTGAAAAGTCTTCAATGACTTCTGAACCATATGAGGACTCACACTGCAGATAAGTATAAGCAGTTTGGGAAAGGCTTCAATAGACACAGTTATGTTCAAATACATGAAAGTATGTATGCTAAGGAAACCTGGCATGTGTAGACCATGTGGAAAAGACTTTATAACTCTTTCAGGCATTCAAAGATAACACAAAATGGAGATGGATCATTATATTAGTCACTTTTCTGTTGCTGTGACAGAAACACTGACCCGAGCAACTTATAGAAGGAAGAGTTTATTTGAGCTTACGGTTCCAGGGGGAATTACAGTCCGCCATGGCAGGGAGGCATGGTGGCTGGAGGTGGCTGGAGTAGCAGAAGTGAAGCTCTCACATCATCACACAGGAGCAGGAAGCAAGAGACAGAGCAACTGAAGATCCTGCAAGGCTTAAGAATTCTGTGACATGCTTCTTCCAGGATAGCCACACCTTCTAAAATCTCCCAAAACAGCGCCATCATCTGGGGACAAGATGTCCAACTACTTGGAGCCTATGGGGGACATTTCCATTCAAACCACCACATTAGATGGATCATATAAAGACATATGTAGATCCAGTTCACTTTTCATTCATGAAATTTCAATGAGAAAAACCTTATGTATGCAAGAAATGTGATAAGACCTTCACTTACCCATTTTTCCTTCAGTATTATGAAAGGAGTTACATTGCAGAGAAACACTATGAATGTAAACAGTACAGGAAAGCATTCGTTGGTTCCAGCTCCTCCTGATGCCAAGAAGATCCACAATGAAGAGGAAAACCTATACATGCAAGCAATGTGGTCAAACCTTCTGTGCTGGATAGCTTTAGTGTCAACTTGACTCACCTGGGTTGAGGAAGCCTCAACTGGGGAATTGCCTTCATTGGACTGGCCTGTGGCCATGTCCATGGGGCATCTTCTTGATTGCTGAGTGATGTGGGAGGGCCCAGCCCACTGTGGGTCGTGCCACCCCTGGGAAGGTGGGCCTGTGTCGCATAAGAAAGCAGCCTGCGCAGGGGCCAGGGGAGCAAGCCAGTAAGCAGTGATCCTCCACGGCCTGTGCTCCAGCCTTCAGATTCTTGCCCTGAGTTCCTACCTTGGACTCCCTAATGAACCGTGACCGGGAAGATGTAAGCTGAATAAACCCTTTCCTCCCCAAGTTGGTTGTGGTCAGAGTGTTTTGTCACAGCAATGGAGAATCAAACTAAGATACCTTCCTTTATCCCAGTTTACTTCATTATCATGTCTGTATTTACCAACTTTCCATAAGAAATTAAGTATATTGAAATATGATTTTAGAAGTCTTTGGGGCTAGAGAGATGGGTCAGAGGTTAATAGCACTGGCTGTTCTTGCAGAAGACCTGGGTTCTTTACAGTACCCACGTGGTGGCTAACAACCAATTCAATGCCCTTTTCTGACCTTTGTGGGCATTGCATGACATGGATGTACTTATATACATGTAGGCAATGCACTCACACATATAAAATAAAAATAGCCTTTTTAAAAAAGACCTAAAAGGCTATTTCCCCCAAAGAAGATATACAGATAGCCAATAAATATATGGAAAGATGCTCCATGCCACTAATTATAGGAGAAATGCAAAACAATATTGAGATTCTATCTCACATTTATTAATATGTCTGCTGTATAATGACTCTTTCAAATAAAGAACCTATATAATAATTTTTGGTGAGGATGTAAGGAAATTGAAATCTACACAATGATAGGAATGCAAAATGGCACAGTCACTGTATAAAACAGTACAGCAGTTCCTGGAAAAAAATGAAATAGAATTACCGTGTGATCCAGTAATTTGACTTCAGAGTACATACACAAAGATCGTGTAGAGTCAGAAGAATTCTTTATTCACCATGTTCATAGCAGCACTCTTCACATAGCTAACGTGGAAGAATCGCATGTCTATTAGTGGCTAAGGAAAAGAGGGTACATATGCTCAATGGAATGTTATGCAGCTTTGAAAAGGAAATTCTGATGTAGGGTACAACATGATAAAACTTGAAGACACTATACTAAGTGAAACAAGCAGTTAGAAAAAGAAGGAAAAAGAAGCTATATGGCTCCAAAAATCGTAGAAATGAAGTGCTGGAGCTGAAGGGATGGTCACACAGCTGAGAGCACTGGCAGTTCTTGAAGAAAACCCACGATCAACTTCCAGCACCCACATGGTGGCTAACAATCATCCATAACTCCAGTTCCAGGGGATCTGACACCCTCTTCTGACCTCCATGGGCACTGCACGACACGGGTGCACTCACATGCAGGCAACACACTCATACACATAAAATAAAAAAAATAAATAAAAACTTTTTAAAGAAAGGAATGCAATGGTAAATGCCAGGGGCTTGAGAAACAGAAATGGGAAGTTACAGTTTAAAGGCTAGAGCTTCAATTTTACAAGAAGGAAAACATTTTGGAGATGGATGGTAGTTATAATTGCACATTACAAAAGGGGCTGAATTGTACACTTAAGGTAGTTAAAATGGTAATTTTTTTTGTCAAATGTGTTTTAATGAAAAAAAAAAAGAGAGAGAGAGAGAAAATGTAATTCAGATCAGGTCAGTCCTCTGTATACCCAGACCTCACCCCACACACATCTACACACACCACCAATGGCTCCTGTCTCTGTACAAAGTCCAACACTCCTGCAGTGACCTTAAAGGTTTGGAGATCTAGCCCCCTTTCATCTCTGACCTCACCTGTTCTCCCCACCCTTCCTCACGCCATTCCAGCCTCACAGACTTCCTGCCAGTTCATCAAACATGCTGGCCACATTTCCACTTCACAGCTTTGCACTGGCTGTTCCTCAGCCTGGAGTGCCCTTCTTCCAGGTATCCAAATGGCCCTTTACTGACCTCCCAAATGTCTGTACACACTTCACCTCCGCACCTCTGATGAGGCTGTCAAATGCCATGCCCAGCCCATTCACCCAATCTGTGTCTCCTTTATTTTGCTCCACTTTCTCACCCTTTCAGCAGTTCTTTCAACTCCCAGTCTTACTGAACATACTTATCATGCTTGTTTTCAGCATGTCTCTTTCACAAAGAATGTAAACTCCTCAGGCAGAGATTTTTGTTTGCTGATATATCCCAAGCATCTAGCACAGCACCTGGCACTTAGTACACATGTAATAAATACTTGTTGAATGAATGAATACAATTTCCATATAGGTTTGAATTGGCAACTTTTGAATCGCTAGCCAAAGGAAGTTCATAGAATTAAATATTGTGCCAAGCCCCCTGCTATTACTCAACTGCCCCCCAATAATATATATGTACATCAGTGGATTCAGTATATTCAGGACAAAAATCATTGTCAGGTGGGGATGGTAGTAGGGGAGAGGGTATTTTTGAGCTATGGATTGTATGCATGCCTGAAGGCCCCTCACGTGTTTAGGACACATGTCACCAGACGGTCCAGTGTCCAGTTTCAAGAACACCAGTCAGAACCCTATTCATCTAACTGGCCACTATTTTTCCTATTCCAGTGTGAGTGAATGGGGCTCTGGTTGTGTGTAAGACAGAGAGCTGGGCAGGGGAAGAGCTCACTTTCTTACCATGGACTTTTCCTGACAGCCAAGATGATGAGATGGAAAACAGCAGACCAGTGGTTACTTGAGAAATGCATCGGTGGGGTCAGAGGGATGTGGCGTTTCTGTTCCTACCTCAAGGACAGCGTAGGTGAGCTCATGAAATTGTTCCTGAGACCTGAAAATCTTTACAGTTTCTAGACTATCCCACAGTCTCAACTGCAGTTATGTGTGTCTATGGAAAACATAAGAAATGTTTAATAGTACAGTTTGGATAAAAGTCCTGGGAAATGGATTCATAATCTTTTACTCTGGGCTAGAGTAAAAGTGATCAGAGTCCCTTTCATTCATTCACTTCCTAGTATTTGTTAAGCATCTCCACATGGCAGCCACTGTGCTGGCGGGATGGTAAGTTCCTGCTTCACGAAGTTTCTACTATGGCAGAGAAGCAGGTAGGGAGATTAAACTCTCTGCAGGGAGTGTTAGGAAACCACTTCCTGTTTCATTGAATATGGTAGTTGTGGGGTGCTGGGAGGCTTGACACTCCAGCTGGGTACACTAAGTTTCATTCGGGAACAGGCCCGAGTTTTAAAGATGAAACCCTGGGAGTAGTAAAGGAGAATTAGGCAGACTACATCTTTCAGCCTTCCGTCTAGAGTTTGGCCACAGTGAAGTTGTAAAACAGGAAATGTGGTCTTTGGCACCTCTGGGCTGCAGTGTCCTGGAGGCTGGTCAGAGTGCACTATCTAAGTGATGTTCTTTTCCCCCTAGGTCTTCATATTATGAACAACACTCAAATATCTCATGATTTGTATTGTTAGAACTTTCTGTAAAATGACTTTTTTTTCCAACAACAGCAACAATAAAAAACAGTCATGAAGGGCGTTTTCCCATTAAATCTCTTCTCCCTATGCTCCCATTAAGTCCTTTCCTTCCATCATCCCACACTAGACACTTTCTGGAGATGATGTCTTACCTGGGAGACTGACTAATGACAGTGTTTGGTACAGGAGAGCAAGCTATGGGAGGGCATGAGCAGCTTTGCCAAGAGGCAGCCATCAAAGGGGAGAGATGAGGGTGCAGGTCTGTGTCTATCCTGTCTGACCTGTAGGTGAAGAGTTGGTGGATTTCTGGATCCTTACTGAGAAGATCCTGAGCATAGATGAGACGGATTTATACCTGAGAGACTACTACTTGTCCCTCCTGCTGATACTTAAGGCCACCCATCTGCAGGAGGGCTCCAGAGTGGTAACTCTCTGCAACATGAACATCAGTAAGTATTACAGAGCATGTTCAAAGTCAAACGTTAATGGGTAGTAACTGACCACTCAACCCAGTGTCTGGTGACTCCCATTTTTTGCTTTTCAGACTATTACTACCTTCTCCATCTGCTAGGTGTCAGGAATACCAGTGGAAATCACAACCTGGAACTGGGAAAGCATTGAAAGAGACAAGTTATCCTTAAGATGATGCTTAGCTTTTTCTGAGCCATCACCTGCCTGTGAAGGTTGGCTAGAAGAAGGGAATAGGAATTGGTACAGGATAGCTGAAACGTTCCTCTATCTTCTGAGTCTGTACAGCTCTGCTGTGGTTTAAAAAGTAGAGAGGTTTTTTAGAACAAATAACGGTCCATTGGCCAAATGCAGTGCCCATGACCTTTGTAAGCAAAGAATGCTTTTAATTGGAATTTGTATGTTAATTTGTAGTAGATTTTATTTTTATAGACCAGATTATTTGATCCCATTCTTCTCTTTTCTCCAACTACATTTTGGCACACTTTGCATTGTAGCGTTTCAGACAATTATTAATTGAAATATTTATTACTGCAGAAAGCAAAAGACATGTTTTTGTTTTTGTTTTTGTTTTCTCAGTCTTTTTGAGACAGGGTCTCCTTGTAGCCCCAGCTGGCCTTAAACTCACAGAGATCCACCTGCTTCTGCCTCCCGAATGCTGGGATTAAAGGCGTGCACCACCACGCCCGGCCTGAATGCTTTTAATTTTTAAAGGCTTCAACAGAAATTATTTGTGGTTCACAGAGCCTAAAATATTTACTATCTGACCTATTATGTGAGAAGTTTTCCAACCTCTTCTCTGATAAGTGAGGAGGCATTTTGGACCCAATACCAATGTGTTCCAGAGGATATGAGGATATGCTGTTTGAGAGTAGCTATGATCTTCTCCATTCATAAAGATAATTTAAAAATTGATGCCATTAACTGAACATGGTGGCACATTCCTATAATCCCAAGACCTGGGAGGTAGAAGCAGAAGGATAGGGAGTTCGTGGTCATCTTGTTTGCATAGTGAATTCGAGGCCACCTGGGCTACAAAAAGACTGTGTATCAAAAATCCGTCAATAACATTAAAGTTAGGGTTAACACAGACTGGCTGCTATCTGAAGGGTTTGAGTCCTCCAATTTTCCAGTCCAAACTCTCTGATCATCATTTAGAGTCGGGAAGAGTCTCATGCAGATTCTTGTATTTCTCGTTTTTATCATATTTTCTTGTATCTTTTGCTTTTATTTACAATAAAATTATACAATGTAACCACAAAATATTTTTTTCATGGGGAAGGAAGTAGAAAAGCAATTACTATATCCTGAGAAAACACTAAAAAACATACCCACTCTATGTTTTATCTGCTTATATCCCAGGTTGTTACAAAGAACTAGCAAAATGCTATATAAAAATACATTTGGAAGAACTTAAACAGCTCTATGAGCATCCCTGCCAAGCTTACATTGTTCTCATCCTCCATGTCTCTCTGTTCTTTCCAGAATCCCTCCTGAAACTTTCCATCTGGCACCCCAACCACTCCACCACCAGAAGGGAGATTCTGAGCCACATGCAGAAAGTGGCTTTGTTCAAAATCCAGAGCTATTGGCTCCCCAACTTTTACACCCACGCCAAAGTGGCAATGGCCAGTGAGGTCGCCTGTCATGGGCTGATGCAGGAATATGAGACTCGACTATGCAGCGTTTGCTGCACACATGCTGGAGGGCTCCCTCTGAACATGAGCATCAAGAAGTCCCACTGCTCCCAGAAGAAGTATTCGAGCAGGAAAGCCAAGAGGAAGATGTGGCAGTTAATTAATCCTACCTTAAGGCTTCTAGAAACAGATCCCAAGCCAGATGTCTCCACTAAGCCCCCACAGGAGATGAGTCTTCCAGAGAAGGTGGTTTTACAGAGGCCTTCCCTGCAAGATAATTCTTCACAAGAGAAAGTAATCCATTTCCTAGAAAAGGATAATCACGGTGCCAAGAAGCTCAGTGTGAAGAAGAAATCCAAGATCTACCTCCACATGGAGGGCCTCTTTGAGGCCAAGTTCTCTAGCCACCTGAGAATGTCCACTCCTATCATCAATCACTCTTCCCCACTGACAACGAAGAAGGCAATCAAGCGAACCCTCTCCTTTGGATACACTCACCAGGCCCTCTGTGCTGATGCCTGTGCAGGGAGTCCTTTCCGGTACCACCTGAAGAAAATTAATCTGGAACTGGAGGCCCAACTCCTGGACCTTTGGCAGGACCTGCAACATTTCCTCAATGTTCTGACGAGCAACAGGAAGACTGGAAACGCAGTCTTTCGTCACATGCTTGGTAACAGAATCTGTGAGGTCTACTTAAACGAGCAGACTGGTCCAAGCTTACCACTCAAATCTCAAACCATTCAGGGCCTAAAGAAGCTGCTGCCTTCTGGGGACGTGAACCCCTGGATCCCCAAAGCCCAGAAGGAGATCTGCAAGGTAGGCCTTATCTCAAAGAAATGTTAGAATTTGGTATATTAGATCAAGACCAATAAAAAAATGCTGTATGATCAGCTATACTTGCTTCGTCGGAGGTAGAATTACCCACAGAAATCTTCACATGTTGAAGAACTGGTTAAACTTCTAAGGTACAACTTGTTGAGAACCAGTTGAAACTCCAAAGTAGAATGTAGAGTGTGTGGTCAATATCCGCTTTCTATTTTCACTTCTTCCCTATACACAGTCTGCCCAAATCCTGAAGCAAAGCTATCTTGTTGAAGGAAGCTTTAAGAGCTCTGTAAGCATTATGAGCTGAGGAGCTGCATCCTCTTGTTTTAATCTCATTTCTATTATTATGATAAAATACCCTGACCAAAGGCAACATGAGGGAGAAAAGGGTTTATTTGGCTCACAGTTCCAGGTTACAGTCCATCATTGTGGGGACATCAAGACAGGGACTTAAAAGATCACATCCGTGGTCAGAGCAGAGAGAGAGCAAATCGACCCATGCTGCTGCTTGCTTTCATCTAGCTTTCTTCACTCCAACACAGCCATTCCCCACCCCCATCTGGAAAATGGTGTCACCTACAGTGGGTTGGATCCATGACAGTCGTCCCATAGGCATGCCCACAGGTCAACCTGTTCTAAATAGTCCTCATTAAGACTCTCTTTCCAGGTGATTCTAGGTTATATCAAGTCAACAGCTAAAACTAATTAGCACACCTCCTTTCCTAGACTAGCTATCAAAGAAATGACTAACTGGGAGTGCTTATTAGTCTCCTAAGATTATGAGTAAGTGAGGCCCACAGTGTGACAATCATATCACAGTGCTTGACAGAAAACAAATGGCAGAGTCAAGTTAACAAACGAGGACAAATAAAGGGACAACTTACAAAGAAATAGGTGGAAGTAGTATAGTCACAGTGGTGGTGTGATACCTCCTACGAATCCAGTCATGATAAAGCATTCCTCTGCCTAAAGAACGGAAGAGAAGCAGGAACAGTTATAAAGTGTGAGACGCTTGGCAGGAACTGTAATTATCAGTCAGGTTGTAACCCAGTCCACGGTGACCTAGCTGGGAGGGATCATGAGGATTAGCCAATCTCTGGCTCATTCTCCTTCTTTTCCATCTCCTGTCTGGATGTCTCATTTGATGAAACTAAAGGAAAGAGAACTCGATGTGGTTTGTAAAAGCTCATCTTCCAAGGCATAGTAGGATAAAGAATAGGGCAGGAGCTGGAGAGATGGCTCAGTGGTTAAGAGCACTGTCTGCTCTTACAGAGGACCCCAGTTCAGTTCATCGTTAACTCCAGTTCCAAGGGATCTGACACCCTCTTCTGGCCTCCATGGGCATTGCCCAACACAGGCACACTCACATACATGCACACAAAACACTCATACACACAAAATAAAAGTAAATAAATAAAAAATAAGAGTTAAAGAGTATGGTGAAGATCTGAAGGAGCAAAAATGGATATGAATAGCAAATTAATGCATTATGATGTTTTTACCTCATAAAAAGTCCAGAGCCATTATCTCCTTCATGTTTCATTCAATTCCAAGAGGCTGACAGACCCCCCACTGTTGTCTTTGTCGTACAAATGAGGAAGAGGAGACTCAGAATTAAGTGAATTGTGCCAAAGGCATACCTAGCTGGCTAGCAGAGGGGCTAGGATCAGAGAGTCCTTATCTCTAAGACCTGCATGACTTCTAATGCATCATAGTTATCCAGGGATGCATACCCAGCTAGTGTCAGGTCATATCAGTCCAGTGGACTGACAGCACAACTTTGCACGATTCTTGGTTAATGAAAGCACTGTTATTCAACTCCTTTTAGAGGTATTTGAGGCCAGAGGATCTGCCTCAAATAGGTATGTTTATGGCTGTGAGGAAATCCAAGTGCAACTTGAAGCAGCTCTGACTCACCGTAATGGATTAAGTTCTGACTCTGCCATCCTTTGACGATGAGGTTTTAGACAACCTTGAAGTCTAAATTCTTTAAAATCTCTGTCTTTTCTCTCATACATAAGTTGAAAAGTGTTTCAAAATCATATTTTATTTGTAAATTTAATGAGTTTATAGATACATTGCGGATAGTATAGTCATTCCTCACAACCTGTGTTGAATTGGTTCCAGGATGCCCACAGATACCACATTCTGCAGGTGTATTAACCTACATACATCCTCCCATAGACCTTAAATCCTTTAGGTCATCTCTGGGTACATAAATACTATGTAGTTGTTCGACATTGTTTAGGGATAATGACAAAGTGGAAAAGTCTGTAACATTCAGTGCAGGTGCAGATTTTTCCTCAAATATTTTCAATCTGTAATTAGATGAACTGATGTGGAGCCTGCAGGGTCTTTATTTCACAGTATTCCTTTATGATTTGTATTTTACACATGCATTTAGAGAATACCCACTGATCAATGACATTATATTACTATATTGCTAGGATTCAACCAGTGGACTACATTTTCTCAAGAATACACTTTGTTCCAGTTCCTCAAGAGCTCAAAAAACAGACCTTTAAAGTTGCTAAAAACCAGACCTTTAAACTCACCTTTTAGCAATCATTAGTTTACAGAAGTTTGTTGCTGTTTTTGTTTTCAATTTTATTCTTTTGCGGGGGGGCGGGGTGCATGTATGTTTGTGTATTTGCATGTGTATGGGTGCACATGTGTGTGCAGGTGTATATGCATGTGTGTTCACTTCTGTGTGGAGGCCTGAAGTTGATGTTGGGAATCTTTCTGTATAGTTCTTCCAACTTATTATTCTCTTTTTTAAAAAATTAATTTTTACTATTTTATATGCATGAATGTATTGCCTGCATGTATGTAAGTGCACCACATCATGCAATGCCTTCGAAGGTCAGAAGAGGACATCAGATCCCCTGGAACTGGAGTTACAGACTGTTGTTAGCCACAGTGTGAGTGCTAGGAACCAAAACCTGATCCTCTGCAAAAGCAGCCAGTACTCTTAACTGCTGAGCCATCTCTCCAACCCCTCAACTTAATTCTTTTGCAGCAGGGTCTCTCAATCAAATCCAGAGCTCACCGATTGGGGTAGTCTCACTAGTCAGCTTGCTCCAGGGATTCCCTGTCTTCACCTTCTAAGGCTGGAGTTATGGTGAGCCACCATGCACACCTGATGTTTACATGGGTGCTTAGGATCTGAACTCTAGTCATTTTGCTTGCACAGCAAGCACTTTAACTGCTGAGCCATCTTCTTGTCCCAGTTTATAGAGACTTTAGCTGACAGTTTATTTTTAAGTCACTGTTGGGACCTCATTATCTGCGAAATAATCCTCATGTTACCGAACAGGCATGGAAGCCCCTCATAGATAGAGTCAACCCATTTTCTCTGCCTCATCTCTTGTCCTGACTCCGCCTCCCAAGCTCTTCTTCAAGAGCTGAATTTCAGTGTGTACCTGTCATTCTTCAACATGCCCTTTCTCCACTCTGCGCCTTTGTCTGAACTCTGCCCACCGCCTGGAATGCCCTTTACTCAACTTCCCTCTGGTTAATTCTTATTTATGCCTGAAATGTACCAACCTTTCGAACCTCCTCCTGGGTTTCCCTGACTCAGTCAAAAGCAACTGTTCCCTTCTCTCTGTTCCCAGAGAATTTTGTCAGCATTTCTATCACACACATCATGCTGCTGCTCATCCTGTTGGGAAGTGAGCTCCTTAGAACAAGACAGGGTCCGGCACTTTGCCCAGTGCCTGCCACATGGGAGGCACTAAAAAAATATATGTCAAATAAAAAAAGAATGTGAGTAAATAAATTTAGTTTAGCACCAATTCATAGGTTCTGTTTGTCCTAATGTAGGAAATGTTATTCACAATTTTGTGAGGCCTCCAAGAAGGAGGTGTAAGAGCAGATATGCCAAACAGATATGCTTGGTTTTCAAACCCATTTGAGAATCGAAGATAGAGCTTTGGAAAGGAACCAAGTGTAGTACGCAGATGCTAAGAGCTCTGTAAGTCACTATGCCCTTTCTTCAATATATACTTACTACTATTCTCTGAAGCTTAGAGGGAGGTTATGAGAGCTACTATATTCAGAAAAATAAAGAAATTCCACTGGCTGTTGTGACTGTGTTTGCCACCGGTTAGATCTCCCACTGAGAGAACCGGAAACTCTGCAGACTGCTCTACATAGGGTGGCCTTAAGCTGAAAGAATGCAGCAAGGGGTGGGCCCATCTCATGATGCTTCTGCTGTGTTTGGATTTCAGGTGCTCTGCCCCTGCTATGATGAATTCCTGAATGAAGAGGACTACTGGTTCCTCATTTTCACAGTAGGAGGCACTTTGGGTTGGGAAGACTCAGGAGGGAAGGGGAAATACTTCTATTTTAGAGGCTTAAAGAAAATGAAATTACAGTTTTTTCCTGGAGGCAGTTGACACTATCCCTGTTGTTCTACAAAATATAAACCTCAGAGCCGGGTGTGGTGGCACATGCCTTTAATCCTAGCACTTGGGAGGCAGAGGCAGGTGGATCTCTGTGAGTTCAAGGCCAGCCTGGTCTTCATAGTGAATCCAGGCCAGCTGTAACTACAGGGAGATAGAGATAGGTAGTTAGATAGATAGATAGATAGATAGATAGATATAGATATAGATATAGATATATAGATATATTCAGGGGATAGATAGTTCTGTAGTTAAGAGTACTTGCTGCTCTTCCAGAGGACCCAAGTTCAGTTCCCAGTACCTACAAGGTAGCTCATAACCTCCTATAACTCCAGTTCCAAAAGATCTGATGCCCTCTTTTGGCCTCCATGGGTACCCACAGCCATAAGCACATATACACAGACACATATACATAAATTAAAATAAATCTTGAGAATATAAAGCTCTCAAGGGAAGAAATTTAGTAGATAGCTGACTTTAAGAAAGTCATGTCTATGCAGAAATTCTCTCTTACAGAAAATGAGATTATGGGAGGGAAGCACTTAGTCAGTGTGCCTGGCGGGCGTGGAGGACTGAGTTGTCACAAATCCCTTGCTTCTGGCTGATTCCTGCAGCAAATGTTGTCTCCCCTCTACTCTGACTCCTTCTCTTAGACTCAAACGCGGCTCATCAAAGCCCAGTGGCACAAAAGAGAATCTACAAGCAAAGAAGAGAACATTCTTCTTTATAAGAGGACTCAGGAATCTCTGGATTTAAGTTGGGCTTTGGCTAACATGGAGGAAATGGAGTCTATGCAGTGGCAAAAGGTGGCTACTGAGAACCTGAAGCAGGGAGGGTCTCTCCAGGTAGAACTGAAGTCTCCAATGTTTCTAGAGGGTAAGAGTAGTCATTCTTGTTCTTTTTGGTTTTAACCCTCACATTTAGGCGACTGGGAAATATTAAAATTTAATGATCAAAATTTAATGTGCAAAGATTGCCTCATTTGAACCTCAAAATAACCTATAAACACGAAATAACCAATAACCAAGGCCCCGAGGATGTTGCCTTCCAAGGTCACACTGAAAGCGGTAGTCAAGATCTGAACCCAAGAAAACTGATTGTGATGCCCTCTACTGGCTCTGGAAGCCAGGGCACTAAATTTGGTAAAATGCCCACAGTTTGGGAATTTGGGAAAATCACCACAGTTAACAATGAACACTTCATTGGGACCATCTGACATTCCACTTCACCACACTTCTTGCAGAGCTGGGTTCAACGACCTGTCTGTGAAATATGTTTAGCAGTCATCCTCCCCAATGTAACCACATCAATCCATCTAGGCAGTGAAGTGTTTAGGAGTTCAAGGTTCTTTAGTTCTAGAGATCTACTACTGACCATATGTACTTGAGCAATGTACTTAGCATCTGTTAAGTACCAGTTTTCTCATCTGTACAATGGAAACCATATTTGTTGTAAAGATAATTCAAATTCATCTATGAAAATGTATGTCAACAGGAACTGGAGAGATGGCTTGGCGGTTAAGAGCACTAACTGCTCTTGCAGAGGCCCTGTGTTCACTTCCCAGCACTCACATGACAGCTAACAACCATTTGGAACTCCAGTTCCAGGGAATGCAATGACCTCTTCTGACCTCTGAGGGCACAACACAGGCACACTTACATGCAGGCAATACACTCATACACATAAAATAAAATAATAAATAAAATATTTTAAATAATAAAAATATATGGCAATAGTAAGAGTCCAATAAATGTTAGCCATCATTATTCAAATTCCAATAAATTTTATTTATTTTCTGCTGAGGAAGTTGAAGAACTACAGTGCTTCTCAAACTTTATTCCACATTAAAGACATTTGACCACATGAGTCCTTAAATATGTGCCTGTAAATATTTATATACATATATGGGAAAAATTCATCTTTAGATGTACTAAGTCATAACTTAACACTTTGAAAAATACTGTTAAAGTAGGTATAAGTGTGGCTGGAGAGATTGCTCAGTGGTTAAGAGCACTGGCTGCTCTTCCAGAAGCCCTAAGTTCAGTTCCCAGTATTGGGAGTCTATAACTCCAGTTCCAGGAGATCAGATACCCTCTTCTGCTCTCTGTGAGCATTGCATGCATGGGTGCACTTACATACATGTGGGTAAAACACTCATCCACATAAAATAAAAATAAATGAATCCAAAACAATTTTTTTTGTCTTTTTGAGACAGGGTCTTCCTGTAGCTTCAGCTGACCTGGAACTCACTATGTAGACCAGGCTGGCCTCGAACTCACAGAGATCTGCCTGCCTCTGCCTCCCAGGTGCTGATGAATAAAAAAAAATTTAAGTAGGAGTAAAAAAAGACTTTGAAAACACCACTTACCCTATGAGCTTGGGTGAATGGCTTCATCCCTTTGAACCTCTTTTCTCCATCTATAGAATGGGGATAATGGCCTGTAACTTTGCAGGATCTTTGAGAAGACTAAAGGTAGTATATGTACATAGCAAGGAGGTGTTTGATGATAAATGCTACTTACTATATTGCTAAAAATTTAACACCCAACTCTTTTAAAAATGTGGTTGGGAGGTATGAGTTTGTGGCGTAGCTCAGTGGTAGAGTATGTGCCTTGTATTTGTGGGAATCTGGCTTGGATGAGGCCAGCATGGAAATGGAAAAGTCAATGTGTACTGTAATATCAAACAGGGTGTCCTGTGGATTGGCTCTCAGAACCATGCTTGTTGGGCATGAGTTATTTATTCATTTTTTCAGTGTATATTTTTGCTGAATTTTTATGGATTGCATATAATATGTTTTAATCATATTGAGACCTCCCCTATCTATGCCCACCCCCATAGCTTGCCCATATGATTTCACACATTCTATCTTATATGTTTAAAGCCTATCTAGTCAAGTTTATGTACCCAGCTGTCTCCCAGTATGAGTTCATCCACTGGGGCCTGTTCAGACTATCTAGTGTCTTTCCCTTAAAGAGCATCAACTCTTCCCTCACCCAAAAGTGATCGGCTGTCAGTAGTTCCCTGGCTAAGGTTGGGGCCTCCTGCTCATTTCCCCATTTCTATACTAGTTTTTATCTGATTGAATTTGCATGAGTCTTGTGCATGTTGTTGCCATTGTTATAAGTTCATATGAACAAGTTCCCAGGAGCCTGTAAAACTGTTTCCTTACGATCATGCATGACCCGTGGTTCTTACAATCTTTCCAGCCCCTCTTATTCAATGGTCTCTGGGTGGGTGAGATTTAATGTAGGAGTCCTATCCAGGGACAGGCACTCCACAGTGTCTTATTCTCTACACTTTGGCCAGTTGTGGCCTTTTGTGTTCATCGCCCTCTGTTGCATGAGGAAGCTTCACTGATGAGAGTTGAGAGATGCATTAGTATTCTCTCTACCCCTTGTTCCACTATGTTCCATGAGCCTTAGGTATAGAGATTGCATTATTGGTATGTTACTTAGGATTGGGCATTTCACAGACACTTATTCTTTGTGTGTGACCAGCTGTAGAACTACTAGACTCTATCTGCTGCAAAAGAAGCTTTGATGAGTGGTGACTGGTATACTTGTCTGTAAATATAAAGATTCATATTTGGCATATAGTAAGAAATTATGTTTGTCTAGGAATGTGACAGAAGTAGGGTTTTCTCTATGATCTATGACCTCTCCAGCCATGTATATTTGGTTATGTTTACAGTGCCACACATGAGTTCCCTCCCATTGAGTGGGCTTTAAGTCCAATCAGATAGCTGTTAATTACCCCCAAGATAAAAGTGCCACTACTGCACTGTTATAGTTTTGTTGTGCCAGTCATTGTTGTGGTCGTTAAGGCTTAAAGCTGGGGTTGGACCAATGAATGATTTTTCTCCCTTAGCAACTTGAATAGTGTCTCCCACAACTAGAAGAGCTTGTCTTCAAGGAGGAAGTCAGTTTCAGTTCCATTGCTCCAAGTCTTGTGTCCAAAGTATGTCCTGTCTTGAGCAATAGGGTCTTACTTCAAGTTTTGGGAGGGGGGCAATCAAAGGTGACAGCAATTGCCTGTGTGAATTTTGGAGTCTCTAGCACTACCCTGGCCAACAATTCAGAGAGGTTTCTCCCATATGGCACTGTGTTTCTTCTTATATAACCTTTAGCTATACGTGTGTGTGTGTGTGTGTGTGTGTGTGTGTGTGTGTGTATCATGTACAGATACTGTATGTGTATTTTTCAGTGGGCTTTTGAAGTATTACATTTCCCTCTGGTTTTTCACACCAGCATGGTTATTTAAATCTAGCATGAGCAGGCTCTTTCTTACCTTGGAGGTTCCATCTTCTTTCTAAACCTAAACATCCTAGAACTTCTCCCAGGAATCATGACAGACTTGGAAGAAAGATGCCTGGAAATTTTCACCATTCAAGTCTTTGGCCTTGGGCACTACTTTGCTGTCTGTGGAGGGCCAGGTGCAGCCAGAAAGGGTGAAACCATCCTCCAGAGACCCTCTCTCCCTTAATACACCATTACTCCATCTATCATTGTTCTTCGGCAGCACATGTCTGCCCTGATAAATGCAAAGGACCTCCTTTATATTTTCCCAAGCTCTGGCCCTGACTCACAGGCAGTCAAACAACTACCCTGAGGCTACACAGTAAACTCTAAACTCACAGAACCTTGTGTTAGAATGTTCTCATCTTTTATGTGGAAACACTGAGTCACAGAAAAGTAAAACAACTTGCCCAAAGTTGCTGGGCAAGGGAGAGACTGATCCACTACTGGAAACTTTGATCCACTGCAGGAAGCAATCTGTCATTTTGGTCGCTTGTAGCCAGAGTCTCCCAGCTGACCAATAACGATGACGACGATGATGATGATATTGTGACAATGATGCTGAAATAAGAACAACTGACTTTTGTGGGTCCACAGCCCAGGATTCCTTGTAGATTCCAGCAATATGGCCATACTGGATGATTTGGAGAGTTCCAAAAGAACTCTGGGCAAGCAGATGTACTTCTAAACCCCAGAACTCAACAGAAATGTGTGTTGTCGTCTTGGTAGGAGGCAAGATGCTGCTTTCCGCTTCTGCTGTGCATAGCATCCTAACTTCTCTTGCTACCTCAGCTTTACTGTCCCACCACATGTTGAATATAAAGTTATACTCTCTCACTTTACTGTATATTATCAGAAATAATGCATGGCTGCTTCTAGTAAAACCTGCTTCCAAAGAACAGTTCTGCAATTATGGATGATATCTTCAAGGCACAAATTAGCTTACATTAAACAGTAAGGGAAAAGGGTCCCATAGCAAAAACTACAAGCTGTCCACATATGCTGCAATGGAAATGGCTGTTGAGGTAAAAAGGGAATGTAAAGCTTAAGAATTAAAACAGTGAAGCTAGGGAGAGGCTTTCTCCTAGATATGAGATAGCCAAGTACACCTGCTAAGAGACAGGAGGCTCTAAGAAGCAAGACTGGTGACAGCAAACTGACTGGCTAGCTTCTAGGAAAACTTTACCACTGGGAGACACATACTAGGCACTATTTCTTATTACATATTCTTGCTATTAATATATGGCTTCTAATGGAACAACTTGTAATAGAGTTAAGTTGTAAATAAGGATGACTTCCAAAAAAGCCTGTTCCATTTCAGAAGAATCTCCAAGCCATCCTATAGACAAAGAGATAACCAAAAACACTGTAGCTTCTTCCTGGTAGCTGTGAGGACAAAGAGAGCTCAATACAATTAACAGCAAGGGACACCTGCAAGGTCAGAGGTAGCAATACCAGCCAGTAAGAAGATCATCAAGGTCAACAACAAAACCAAAGATCTTAGTATAATTATCAGTTAGCAAGACACCTGCAAGGTCAGAGAGTAGTAATGCTAGCCAAGTAACTAACAGCTAGCAGACAGTCAAGGTCAACAACTAATAAGGCCAGAGTCAGAGATGGATGGAAAAGGGCTTCAGTCACCCCTAGCCGGGTGGGCAGCCCATGAACAAAGTACAATCATTCCCCTGGTCAGGACAGAAGGACATGCATAGAGTATGAGGGCCCTCCAGTGGACCAGCCCATGATAGCCCAGAGGATGAATCAGTCTCAGTAGAGATTACCTAGTCTTTGTTCAGTTTCTGCTATTGCTCTATCAAAAACCTTAGACAAAATGTAAAGTTTTTTCTCTCTCTCAGCAACCTCTCCCTCACTCTTGGGAGTTTTGCCAATTTTCCTTAATTTCTTGCTTTTCTCTCTCTCTCTTTTTTTTTTTTTTTTTTTTTTTTTTACTTTTCTGTGATCATTCTTGATAAAGCCAGTTTCTGCTCTGCTTACTCCCCATGACCCTGCGCCTTTCATTTTCATTAGGATAAGACAGTGAACATGTTTGAGGACTGTGTCAGACATCTGAGGTCCTTGGGTCATGCACAAAGGTTCCATCACTCTCAAAAACCCTGTATCACCCTAGTACCTCCCCATGACCCTGCGCCTTTCATTTTCATTAGGATAAGACAGTGAACATCTTTGAGGACTGTGTCAGGCATCTGAGGTCCTTGGGTCTTGCACAAAGGTTCCATCACTCTCAAAAACCCTGTATCACCCTAGTATGAGCTGGTAGTTCCGAAATTAACTCACACAAAGTCAAGTAAGAAACAAGGAATGTCCTAACAAATTATTTGTCATAAACATCAGGGTTTTGAAGCACCAGCAGAATATTTGAAACTCATTTGCAACTCCTCCTTTCAACAGATGATTGCCTGAAGAGGTCAAAATTTGTTTGGATGAGTGAGTTACTTAATTAACAATTAATGGTTCCTTCAGTAACATATCTCTGTGCACTAATGGAGAAGGGGGAAATCCACTCATCCTGGAATGGATGAGAGTCTATATTCCTTGATTCTAAATCACTTATTCTTTATGTAAGCACCCCATTAAAACACTATTATTCCATTGAAATAATATGTTAAAGGCAATATTTTCAAGAAAAGTAAATGGATATTTGACCCTAGAATAGGCAAACTCTATCTCTGTTTTTCCTTCACAGATGTTAGCAAAATGACCTTTAAGGAGCTCTCCTATAAGAATCCAAAGATGGCCATAGAGAAGATCAGCGAGGACTACAAAATACATTGTGAAAAAGCACCTCCAGTAGGCAAGTGTTTAAACTCGGGGTTAATGCGAGGCAATTTTTTTTTTTTTCAAATCTAAGAATTTCCAAACTCTAGAGGCATAAGGCAAAAGAACTATACTTTGTTAACAAGGGGAGATCGTCAAGAGGTGATGACTACGTCCCCCTCCTACAAGGTCCTCAAGGCAGTTCTAATCATTGAAGCCGATGATTAGGTTGTTTATTCATTCTTCGTTATCTAAGAAGGGTTTTCAGTGATGTGGCTTCAGCTTCTGCCAAGTTTCCTAGAGTCAGAGATAAGCACGTGGGTGTCTGTTAGGATGCGTTCTTGGGACTAACAAAATCCCAAGGGACTGAGGAAAGCAGCACGAAGAGACGCTGAAGCTAGGATGCCCCTTCAGAGCTGTCCCGCACTGAGGGACGGCACCTGAGCTTCTGTACTGCCACACTGACCCAGATGGGATGTGGCTGCCTCTGGGGAAACGCAATCTTTGGGTCAAGCAGCAGCGAGCTGTCATCAACCAGTACTTCTGGGACAATGAGTGCTTTGGTCCTAAAAGGAAGATGTGGATAGCAACCACTGTGTCCTTTTGCTCCTTTCCTCTAACATGGACGTTCTTTCGCAGCCCCCTTGGACCTCACACATTGGATCAGCTTTTGTGTGGACAGTCTCCTTGTTCTGTTTCAGCTCTGAACTCCCCAACTAAATGGCCCTTCATGTGGCTATTCTTCTCATCCTAGTTGGGCTTCAGAGTCCAGTGCAAGGAAAGTTTCCTATGGGGAAGTTCTCACTCTACCTGAGATCTGGCATTCCACTGGGCCACTGTGGCTCGTTCCTCCCTTTGGTGCTATCACTTACCTACCTTGTTCTAATGATTTTACCCCCAATGATTTAGAATTTAATTGTTAAGAATATAAAGCCTCACTTGTGTTTTTTAAGAGTTTCACTTAAAACTCTCTTTTTTGTTATTGTGGGATATAATTTGATTCTGCTTTAACATCACTCGTGCTCTGATAGCACTCCTCAGACCTGTATGGTGATCCCGCCAATTACCAAGTAGCTCAATCCCAAGAAAACATTTTAGTGGTTGGAGAAATGATTGTTATAGATCTGGGAACCCAGCAGACCCAGTGTGAGCTAGACCTGGACCAGGACTTCATTTACATTCTACTTCTAATGAACACCTTCTCTAAGTGGGCCCATGATGACTTTCTGGTGACCCAGGCAACTGGATGTCACCCTTCCACAGATGTTTTGTTTCCTTTCCAACAGTTGTGATAAAATACCCTGACAAAAGCAACTTTACAACATAAAAGGATTATTCAGCTCACAGTGTCAGGTTACAGTCTATCATTGTAGGGAAGTCAAGGCAGGAACCAGAAGCAACTGGTCACAGCCAAAGCCAAGCACAGAGAGAGAATGAACACATGCATACTTAGTACTCAGCTGGTTTCTTTACTCTCACACAGTCCAGGGAAAGGTGCAGCCCACCTTAAGGCTGAGTTTTCCTATACCGATTAATGAAGTCAAGACAATCCCCAACAGACATGCCCACAGGCTAACCTGGTCTACTGAGACTCTCTTCTCAGGAAAGTCTAGGTTGTGTCAAGTTGACAATTAAAACTATCATAACAGGTATACAGTTATCACAGTAAATGACCAAAGTCCCATTGAAAAGAGTCTGGGGTTATCATTAGTATACTGTTGCCCCATTGTAATCTGTTCAGTTTTTCTCATGGAAACCATTTTTCAGTCAACGGACTCCAGGTCTGAAAACTGACTCAGATCTGGAAACTAGGCAAAGGATAAAGGGGTATATACAGCTGTGTGTGTGTGTGTGAGTGTGTGTGTGTGTGTGTGTGTGTGTGTGTTGTGTATGTGGGATGTGTGTCTATATGACTGTGCGTTTATACCTTATACCCCTAATTGTCCATCTTTGGTTTCTTGTGGTTTATATATCTTAAGTATCTTTGTTGGGTGCCATCTGGACAACCTCTAGAAACATTATTAACCCTGTCAACAGATCTTTGAGAATCAGATCCTTCTAGTAGCTACTCTGACTTTATTGCTCACTGTAATAATACCACTTTCTTTTCTTTTTTTTTTTTTTTTTTTTTTTTTTTTTTACAGTGATATACATCTCACTTGCCTCTGTGATTTGGAAGACATCTCCATTGCTATCACAGACCCCAATTTGGTAATAGCTCTGTTGCACAAAGGAGCCGTCATAGAGCTTTTTTGATGATCCTGGTGCCCTTTTACCAACGCATTTTCCATTACTGGTTGGTAATTTGGGGGGGCAGGTTCTATAGTCCATCCATTGTAGTTTGCTTGAGTTTGGAGCTTTTTCATGTCTTCCTCAAATAGTTATCTTAGACGCTTGAATATCTACTGTTAGTATGTCATTACTTTAACCGAACTTCTGAGAGCCAGCCTTGTTGTGGACTGGCACTATCTCATAGGATTCTTGCCAAAGTCTTAAACTCTGTATTCCAGAAGAATGCTGCCAAATTATTAACTCTTTTATTAAATAAATAATTTATTGAGAATTTCAAACATGCATAGAAGGTGTTTTGATCAAATCCATGCCCACTCCCTCCCCTCCAACTCCTCCCATGTCTCCCCATCACTTTTTTCTGATACCTTCATGTACTCTTTCTTCTTCTTTGATTGAGTTATTTTTTTTAATGGGGGCTTTTGGCTACTCTAATATTACCACTCTGAAGAGGTAACCCTAAAATCTTTTAAGGATTAGATACAAGCTCCCAAATACTTTCAACATTTTTGGCCTTTGGAACAGAGTAAGTTGCTAAGAGGCCCAAGGACACTGTGAGTTTTAGCCAAGAAACTGGCCATTTTTCTTTGGGGTCTTTCTACTCTAACTGCCTAGCCAATTCCTACCTCCTATTCTTATCACACCATCCTCAGAAGAGGTTACCCAAATTGCCAATAGGGAATAGGGACGCAAGACCGCTCTGGCTTCTTCCATGCTGAAAATAAGAGATCCCAAATACTTTAAGCATTTCTGGCCTTTGACACAAAGCAGGCTAAGAGGCCCAGGGTCATTTTGGCTTTTAGCCAAGAAAGAAACTAGCTACTTTTATTTGGGGTCTGTTTACACAAACTTCCTAGCCAATTTCTACCTCCTATTCTTATCACACCACCCTCTAAACAGGTTACTCTAATTTCCAAAAGGGAATCAGGGCACAGACTGCTCTGGCTTCTTCCATGCTGAATAGGGGTGCAGGGTGTGGTTCTTGACTGGTGTGTGGAGTTGTGAAAGAGAAATAAAGGCAAGAGTAGCTAGCATTAGAAGTTTTAGACAGGGAACCAGGAAAAAGTCCAAGCACAGCAAATTTCAAATGTCCAAATCAAAGTCCATTAGAATTTCTTGATGAGAACTTCCATCTATTGAGTTCCTCCTCATTTTTCTTTTGACCTCCAAGGCTAGACTTGATGAACTTGGGATTAGTTTTCAGGCACTTTGATAGCTGTAGGAGTGGCTAGAATCAATGTGAGTTCCCTCCCAAATGGCTTCTAGACAGGGAGAAAAAAGAAATGTAGCTATCATTTAATTTTTAGGTTAGAACAACAGTGCTTTTCTTTTTTGGCTGCAGGTAGGCATTGTAGTATTGAATTAAATCAAGATTTATCTGAGTAGCATTTTCTTATTAAGAACAAGTTCATCAATGAGAAATAATTGTCTAAATAACTTTTTATATAGATTTAAGCCTATTGTCTGGGAAATGTAACCCCTTGAACTCTTAAAGAAATATACTTATGACTTTACTCTTTGGTTATACTTTCCTTTTGAGTATTTAACACCATACAGTTGGCCCAAATAAATCAATTTATTTTTACACTTAAGGGCATTTGAGGATCTGTTCCTCAGGGGTCACATGGGCTTGGTAGGAGCTCCTGGCTCCTATCTTTTGCCTCTATGTGACAAGTCAAAGGTTCTGCTCAACCATGTCTGGCTTCACTTGGAAGCATGAACGAGATGTTTCCTCTGAGTTGACCCTCCTCTTTGTAGACTGGACACTGGTTCAAGTCTATCTCGTGGGGTCTCCATGTCCTCCTTGAATAAGTGGACAGGTGACTCACCACAGTTACAGTACATTTTGAGAGATGTTCCATAGTCCCCTGGAACTTAGTCGACCTTGGAGAGCAAGGGGCAAAAATTGTCCTTTTAGTCCTTCTGACCACATTAGTATAGGCCTCAAAGTATGGCTGTTAAATATCTAATAAGGTTAGTTCCACCAGTCTGGCACTTTTAATTATCAAGTGCTGTGTAGATAAGGCTTGGGTAAAACCAAATATTCTCAGATAAACCTTGACTAGATATATATTTTGTTCCTTAAACTAATTGACTAAACTATGACCATAGAAATTTTAAGATTATGTGTATATTATTTTGTCTCATCCTTTATATATCATAACAAACCCATAGACCTTCATCACTTGCTTAGGCTTTCTCACTTTTTTCTATTTTGGAAAATATCTCCATTCCCATATCCTTTTAACATCTTTTACATTCTCATTTTCTTTTTTAAAAATAATTATGAGACATAATAGCATTAACAAATAAATTTTCCTTCTGGTGTGAGACTTATTTTCCTGGAGATGCTAAGCAATGCTTATCCCTTTTAAGGTTCTAGTGTCAAGCCAATGTTTGATTAAAGAGTTACTGGGGAACCAATGAATTTACTGAGCTTACTTACAGAGATAACTGAGGGGTTGCTGAGGTATATTTATGACCTGAGGGTAGGTATGCTGAAAAGCCTTTACCCAGCATGGGTCATACCTTCTCCTCCTAGCTTTCCCCAGACTGTATACCTCAGCCCTCCCCAAATCCAGAAGGCCGTGTGTGATTAGGGCCAAATTACATACAGTTGTCTGGGAAGAGTGCCTGGATAATCCAGTGAGGGTCCAATAACCCTGCTTGTCCCACCTTTAATGAATGAGCACAACCATCACCAAGCCCAACTGTGATTTTTTTTTTTTGCGATCAGGCTCAGCTGAAGTCATGATGATGGTAGTTATTTCATGCAGAAGGGACTGCTGTATAGCATCGTCTTATTAAAAGGACCTGGAATTTAAAAGGATTTGGTGCCAAATTATTCACTCTTAACTAGCTTTATACTTTAGTCCCCTTTGATTCATCACTCTCAGGAGAAGTCCTATACATCTTCTGCATTCTTTTGATACATGTGGGCTGGCTCCCACTACTTCTATGGAGAGGCATTAACCTCAGTGAAGCAGATTGTCTCTCTTTTTAAAGATTTTTACATTTTATTATTATTATTATTATTATTATTATTATTATTTGTGTGTGTGTGTGTGTGCATGTGTGTGTGTGTGTGTGTGTGATGTGTATGAGTGCCAATGCATGTGTGCCATGACGTGTGTGGAGGTGGTCAGAATACAGCTTTTGGGAGTCAGTGTATGGATGAACTCAAGTCCTTGGGCTTATACAGCATGCACTTTTACCCACTGAGCCCCAGGTGGCTTATCTTATAGCCAACGGCAATTCTGAGACAGTGTTAGCTGTGTACCATAAGCAGTGGAGAATGAGTGCCTCAACTCTGATAGTGACAACAGATATCTGAGCTACACACTGCAGCATCTGGGCTCACAGCACAGAATAGCATGGTTACCTCAGTAAAATGATGGAGGAAACTTCCGTGTTTCTCCAGGCCCCACTGCTGCATTTATAGCTTAGAGAATTTCAAATCTGTTCCTAGTTTACTATTCTCTGAGCATGAACTTCTGACCTGATTCAATTAGCATCCCCTATTTCAGTATCTCAGCTCTCTTCTCCTTGACAAAAAGAAAAACTGAGCCTTTATCTTTTTTGCCTCAAGGTAGTATTTTTTGCCTCAAGGTAGTATTTTTTAAAATGGTACTTTAAATCATCAAGCCTCTATTTTCCCCTCCTTTCTTAACTCTTATTTGCATCTTTTTCTATTAAAAATTATAAGAGGAAAAAAGGAAGCAGATGCTTGATCAACTACCCTGTTAAACAAAGATCACTTATTCCACCTCTTAATTATTAATGTTTTTCTTTCCGAAAAGGTAATAGTAAATTAATTCTATCTGGTTTTCCCTAATTTATTCACATTTTCTGAAGTTTATATAAATTTAATTAAACAACATGTGCCCTTTGGTATTTGTTTTGTTTTAAATTATTAGAATTGCTTGTTAAAATCATTTAACAAGCATATGTCATTTGTGGTCTAGATATTCTAAGTATATATTTGACAGAAATGTGCTTACATATGCATCAAATGACATGTACACAGACTTTCATAGGAACGTTATAAAATCATATGTCATTACATTCTACAAAATGTATCATTGAGCTCAACCATATTGAGTGTAGCAATAATTGACTTACTCTAGGCAGAGCAACAGTACAAACATTCACCTCATTTTTTTTCATGGTTGTTCCCCTTAAGGAGCCTCTTTGGGCTCTGTCTTAGTTGTTTCTTTCCCTGTTGCAAAAGTTGTTTTCTTTCGCTCTGGCAAAAGCAACATAAGGGAAAAAAGATGTATTATGGCTCATGGTTCAAAGTACAGTATAGTCCATCCTGGAGGGGAGGTCAAGGCTGCAGTAGTCTGAAGCAGCTGGTCATACTTCATTCACAATCAAGAAGCAGAGAGCAAGGAATGCTGGGGCTCAGCTCTCTTTCTCCACTTACACAGTCCAGGATCCCAACTAGGGAATGGTGCCACCCACAGTGGACAGATCTTCTCACCCTAGCATACTCAAGATAATCCCTAACAGGCATGCTCAGAGGCCCATCTCCCAGGTGATTTTAGACTCTGTCAAGTGGACAATTTAACACTAACCATAACAGGTTCCTTATACATTAATACAAGAGATATAAACAAGATAAAATTTATTATGATTCCGAAAACCAAGTTTCAACCTATTACATAATATAATCCTCACTAAGAATGTAGGATTACAGGATATTCTGCTAAATAGAGAGTATTCAAATACATGAACATAATTTTTTGTTGTTGTTGTTGTTGTTGTTGTTTTTGTTTTGAGACAGAGTTTCCCTGTAGCCCCAGCTGTCCTGGAACTCACTACGTAGACAAGGCTGGCCTTGAACTCCCAGAGATCTGCCTGCCTCTGCCTCCGAGTGCTGGGATTAAAGGTGTGCACCACAACGCCCAGCAATGAACATGATTTTTAATTCATTCAAAGTTGGTGGGAATTTGACTTATCTAGTTTTGGAAATTATATACAGTGATGCACTATATTTTCATCAACAAAGGAACACATATCCCTATGGTATATTATATATATAGCTTAAATGTGTAGTAGACTATATCATCTAAATTTGTGTAAATGCACTCTACAATGTCTATAGAATGCCACAATCACTTAATGACACATTTTTCAGAATATACTGACACATGACTGTGTAAGGTTCCTATGATCATCTTTGTATATATTATTTGTACATATATAAGTACATTTACAGAGGATATCTAGACCTTTAAGTAGACATATATTAAACTTTAATAAGCAATTCTAGTCATTTTGTAAAGAATGTTTATGAATTTATGTTTGTACAACCCCCCAAATTTGATTTCTTGATGTACCAGAGTTTTCCTTTCAGCTGTCCCTCCCCTCTGATTCTTCGTGCCACCTCAGTCATCAAGTAAGTCTCCCCATCTTCATGAGTTTCTTTCTAGGCTCTGCTTGAACTGACCTATTGTTGCACAGCTATAACTATATTGATTGAGATAAATTTTTTGAAAGTATTGATTGGTTGAATTAAATTCCCCTCTTTCTTTACTTCAAGTCAGGCATAACTTTGTAACCTCTTTTATCTACAAAATTGCCAAATAACTTAAGAAAAAATTAAAACAGAAAGTTTTTCCATTTTTTTAAAGTCCTGGTCTTTGTTTTGTGTTCACTGTGGGTTTAACACTACAAATTACAATTTCTAACCACTCTTCTAGTTTTGAGCTTCTTTTTCTAATCATTATGATTTAATTTTGTTTTATCTTAATTTCTAATAGGTTTATTTATGGCTCTAAAAATATGTTACTTTTCACTCCAAGCATGGTGGCACATGCCTTTAATCCTAGCACTTGAGGCAGAGGCAGGTGGATCTCTGTAAGTTCAAGGCCAGCCTGGTCTACATAGTGAGTTCAGGGCCAGCAGGGGCTACAGGGAGATCCTGTCTCAAAAAAGATTGAAAATTATATATGTTACTTTTAATTCAGAACTTTATGTGTTTTGTCTTAGAAAGTATTTTGTTTTTAGAGTGTTGTGGGTTTTCTTTTCTTTCTTATATCTAGTCTTCTATAGTCTGAATTTCATTTTTAATCAATTCAGTTGCATGTATTTAGAACTAATATACATTCCTATTGTTTTCTATCATTTCTGTATACTGCCTATCACCGAGGATATTATTAAATCACAGGATAATGCCGTATGAATGAATGCACATGTGCATTTTATTTACTAAGCACCTTAAACCATCGAACATATAACAAGGTCACGTTCTAATTTCTAGCAGTGAGATAAACCTACCTCTGCCTTTTATGAGTTCATAGTCAATGTTTTTCTTCTACACAATCAACTGGATTTTTAAAACACAAGATCTCATGTCGTAAAAATTAACTTCAAACTCACTAACTGAGGATGACCTTGAACTTCTGATCCTCCTGCCTCCACTTCCCAAATGCTAGAATTATAGGCAAGGGCCTTGATCCTTGGTTTATAAAGTACTGGAGCTTGAACCCAGGGCATCATGCATACTAGGCAAGCACCCCACCAACTGAGCTACATCCCCAGCCCCCAAAAGTATTTTGATAGTACTGAGACCCATGAACTATATTATTCTTCCAAAATATATTTAAATATATTTCTTGGAATAATTGTTCCAAATTGCATTAGGGAACCAGACACACACTCTAAATTATATATGTGGTGTTAAAATATAATTTCAGGAGAAGCAGTATCTTTGGAAAGAAAATGGCTTTAGTTAAAACAAGAAGGCAAATGGAACCTCTTAAAATTGAGGTCAAGAATCAGTAAATTCAGGCTGGAGAGATGGCTCAGTGGTTAAGAACACTGACTATTCTTGCAGAAGACCCAGGTTTGTCCTCCTTGTCCATTGTACGACATGGGTGTACTAACCTACATGTAGGCATAACATTCATACACATAAAATAATAATAAATAAAATATTTTTTAAAAAAAGAATTAGTAAATTCAATGGTTATGTAGCAAAATTTTCAAATGGTAAGTGGGAATGATTCAGAGAAGATGGCTGGGGTGTTAAAGAAGACAATGTCATTGGGACTATAGTTCAATCAAAGCAGAAAATTGGAAGATGAGAAAAACACTGGACTTGGTCTCAGTCTCTGAGGAAGGTAGGCTCCAGCCTACCAACCAACATGCTTATCTAACACAGCCTGGCCTGATGGCAGTCATTGAGACAGTAGCTTTGGCTTTTCCATATACATATGCATATACATATGTGTGTACATATATATATATATATGTATATATATGATCTAATGTCTGACAAATGTCCTTGCTATTTTGTTACTTATTCTCTCCTTATACAATGTTGTTACTTGACTTTGTGGTTTTTCTCAGATTATACAGTGGAAATTGTCAAGCAGCCAAAGCTCACACACTCACACAGGAAACCATCCTTTGTTAAAAAAGCTGTTATAAGGAAACCTTCAATGAGACCCAGGTAAGATGGGAGATCTGGCTACAGCAACATCTCCAGGCATAGACTTCCCTTTTGTGTGTAGGATCCCAGACCTTTTCCCATGTATAATATGCATATGAACAAGAATATTTTGAATGTTAAATTACTGTTTGGTTTATAAAGCCAGCACCATGTAATATATATTACAAAATATCTTCTTAAAACTTAAACTATTACAGACATCCTTTTTAAATATTTATTTGTTCACAATTTCTATATATATATACATATATATATATATATAATGTGCTTTGATGACATTCCATCCATTTCTATCTCTTATCCCCTTCCCCCTCCCACCAAACTCCTTCTTCTTAACAAATTCCCCTCCTACCTTATGTCTTTGTGTGTGTGTGGTACAGTGCATTTAATTAGGGTTGCTTGCACAAGGCATTAGTGAGGGGTTATTTCCTAAAACAAGGGTAAATTACCAGTGGCTACACCACTGAGAAATATATGACTCCTCTTACCCCAACAACCATTAATGCCTCTAGCTCCTCGTGGAGGGGTGGAATCTTATGAGCCCCTCCCCTATCCATGACGGAATGCTGAAGGACCCAATTTTGTGCAGGTCACCATGCCTGCTGCATATTCCTGAATGCAAGAGCCATGTCCAAAAAATGGCAATTCTCAGCACTCCTTCCCATCCTCAGGTTCCTACATTCTTTATGCCCTCACTCCCAAGATGTTCCCTAACCTTGGTAGGCATGATATAGATGTCCAGTTTAGGGTTGAGTTCTCAACAGCCACTTATTCTGAGCACTTTTACTAATTATGAGTCTCCACATTGTCAGTACCCTGGGCATCCTTTTATGTCAGTCTGTATGCATCTACTTGCTTCCATGGTGTAGATGCAGCATGGTTTAGTTAATCCTGTCCTTCCTCTGGGCATTCACATTTTCTCTCACTTGTCATTGTTGTAAATAGTGCATGCACCTTGACTCATCTGGAGGAGTTTGGATTCTGTACTGCTACAATAACCTCACATCTGGTTTCTTCTTCATGTCTCTCCACTTTCTAATTAATCTCAGAGTCGATCTCTGCTAGGTAAAGACTCTGTGGCATTTCTTCCAGAGGACAATGTCCACCTTTCTTCCCATTCTCTTAGCAGAAGTGCTACCTGTACATATAAAGTTCCTCGAGTGCTATGTCTGCTGTACTTACCATGTACTACCTTTAGGGCTTTATACTTTTTAGGTTTCTTCTTTTCCTCTACCTTTAGGTGGGTTCCAGGGATAAAACACAGTTTATTACCTTTGCTCAGCAAGTGCTTTTACCCACTGAATCATCTCACTCACTGGCCCCTACTGTTCTTTGTTCTTTCTTTCTTTCTTTCTTTTTTTTTTTTTGGTCTTTTTGAAACAGGGTCTCTCTGTAGCCCCAGCTAGCCTGGAACTCACTATGTACACCAGGCTGGCCCTGAGCTCACAGAGATCTGCCTGCCCCTGTCTCCCAAGTGCTGGGACTACAGGTGTGCACCACCACACCCGGCTATGTATGTTTTCTTCTTGATTATAATTTTCTCTTAAACCAATTCACTCATTTGTTTATTCATCTCATTCAGTTCTTCTCTGTTAATCTCTAGTTACATAAAGGTTCTTCTCTAGACAATGAAGACACAGTAGTCAACAAAAAAGGAGAAAAATCTCTGGCCAAATATTTGCAGAGAGAAGTCTCCGAGGAGAGTGCCTTGTGTGACTTATAGCATTCACTTCAGGCTGTAAATCTTCTGTCCATTCTAAGCACTCTAAATAAATCTTTCTGCTCCTTGAATAGTGGAAATTGTTCCCAAGAGTCAGTCACTTATTTCTCTCATTGTTCTAATGTGTTCTACTTACTGTTATCACTGTAGAAATATTTAATTAGAACTTAAATGACCATGAATGTCATAAAAGTCTTTACCTTTTTTATATTTTTAATTATTTTTGTTTTGTGTGTATGAGTGTATTGCCTCATGTATGTGAGTACACCTGTGTTGTGCAGTGCCCACAGAGGTCAGAAGAGGGTGCTGGATCCTCTGGAACTGGAGTTTCAGGTGGCGGTTAACTGCCTTGTAGGTGATAGGAATTGAACCCATGTCCTCTGGAAGAGTAGCCAGTGCTCTTAGCCACTGAGCCATCTCTCCAGCCCCCTAAAAGTCTTTTCTATATCATGGGAGTCATACAGTCCAGTTTCATGATTTAAGATCATGGTTCAGTTCAGAGATGGCACCACTGCAATTCTCTTAAGCCTTATCCATATCCCTCATTCAGTGTGGAAAAGCTATTGATCATATGCAATGTCCTAGACACTCTAATGATATAAAATGATAATGCCAGAATATATACCATGCTAGTAATACAGTTCTTGTCCTTAATCTAAGATACAACTAAATAAGATACAAGGCTGGTCTTAAATTGTTGTGATAAAGTTTTGTCTAATTCTTATGGGAGTAAAGAAGAAAGAAAAATTTTGACAAAAGATTTGGAAAAGTTAGAGTATCAGAAGAGCCTTAAACTTCATGTAAGAATGGCAAAGAAATGAGACCATCTGTAAGCAAGCTAAACCCTACCCACAAGCTAAAGAGATGACACAGGGCTTAGAAGCATCTTAGTAGTGCTGAAGTAAAAGATACATGAGGTAAACAAAGAGGCAAAATTACAAAGCCAGGCTGAGACAGAATAACTGAATAGATGACTAGAATTATTAAGTAATTTGTATTGATTAAATGGAAGTGATGATTTGTTAGAATTTATTGGAACAATAAGTAACAGAAATATCTGTTACATTTTATTCCTATTATACTATTTATTAAAATATTACAACGGGGGCTGGAGAGATGGCTCAGCAGTTAAGAATACTGACTGCTCTCGCAGAAGACCTGGATTCAGTTCCCAGCACCTACATGGTGGCTAACAACCATCCATAACTCCAGTTCCAGGGGATCTAATGCCCTCTTCTGGCTTCCATGGTCATTGCCCATACAGATACACTTACATACATGTAGGCAAAATACTCATACATATAAAACAAAAATAAATAGATCCAAAAATTTTTAAAAATAAATATTACAACTATATTTAAAAAAATAAAAAACAACTATAATTTTTAAGTACTACTCTGAGAGAAACCTCTATAATAGTATAAGGAGTCAGGGACCCAAAGAGTAAAAGTAGAAATAGTCATCAAAAGGTTGATATGTTGTTCAGGCAAGTGATACTAAAGGCCCTGAAGGAAGATATAAATATATATAATGCTAATTTTTATAATTTTTAATTTCCTGAACACAATGATGAAGGAACAGGACTTCTGGAATAGAAGGGTAAGGACTATCTATGTAAAGAGATGCCCCTTTAAAAGCACTGATAAAACAGGGCAAAGTAGTTGAAAAGAATTTTAGAACTCTGTAACTTACTAAAGGCATGTAACAAAATAAAGGAATTAATTCAAGAAAACTACCAGACCTCAGTAAGAAGACTGGAGACTGTGGCATCTTCCCCAGAAACTATCCATATCACCTACAAACATGAAGCAGGGCCCATGGTAAGGACCAGCAGGTAGTCTTGCTGCCAGCAGAGGGAACCGCACAGAAGAGCCCACAAGCAGAGACCTTGCCCCAAATGCAAGCAATCTTCATGGCAATTAGGAAGGTTGGCATCACGATGGTTTGAGGCACTGATATCAGACGGGCAAGAAGTAAACAACACAAAAGTGTAAAGAAAACACTAGAAAACAAGACCTCCCATGCTGCTGGAAAATGATCTCAGAGAACATAAAAGATCCGGTTATCTACATTTGTTAGCTGCCTACGAGGCCTTAAAAACAAGAATTAAAGACGGAAAATGGAGAATATCCAGGCAAGCATGTTGGTTTAATACAAACCTCCATAAAAAGGAATAAGTGGGATGACCCAGATCATCAGAACTGATGTTCAGGGTGGTGGCTCAGAGGATAAAGGTACTTACTGCCAAGCCTGATGATCTAAGTTTGATCCCCTGGACCCACACAGTAGAAGGAAAGTACCAACTCCCAACAGTTGTTCTTTAGCCTACACACACACACACACACACACACACACACACACACACACAAGTAATTTTTTTTTTTTTTAATTTAAATCAGGTTGAGTCAGGCATGTTGGTATATGTCTTTAATCCCAACACTTGGGAGGCAGAGTCAGTTGGATCTCTGTGAAATCAAAGCCAGCCTGGTCTACATAGCAAATTCCAAGCCAGCTGGGGCAAGAGGAAAACTGTCTCAACAAAACAAAACAAAACAAAACAAAACAAAATATCCATGTTGAAAAAACAAAAAATACAGAAATTGAGATTGTTAGGAAATGGAAAGATCAAGTTAGACAATTTAGATGTAATAAACCTCTAGAAATGCCCAAATTATTAACCTGACTCAGGAGAAGTTTTA